GCTTGCCATAAATGCCACCAACTCTATTTTTATGTAAAAGCGCAATAAAAATGCCCAAATGCTTATTCACTTTATCTATTAAAACGGGCCGCACACATGCCGCCTGCCTCACCACGGCTTGCGTCAGTCCAACTATCCCCTAAAATGTACTTCACGCACTTGGACCAAACCCCTTGACTGACAACTGTCATATGGATATTTGCATCATCCGTTACCCTCGTTATATATATCGAGCTTATGCCTAACATTTGCTGTTTAAGCCTGCCCAGGAAGAAAAAAGACAAACCCCAAGGATCCCTCTGGCTGCGCGATCCCTTTTTCATTTCCTAACTGGTGGAGGGCGTAATCCCTGCTCTTATTTCTTCTCTCTAATGTCTCTCTCTCTTGTGGAGAGAAGGCTTAATACACCTTGGCACGTTCGAGGGTTTTAAAGTCATCTTTAATGCGTGTTTAAAGTTTGAAGACAGCTCAAAACCACAGTCCTCCTTTAAACCCCCAGAAAAAGCATTCGCGCTATACAGCCACTATCCACCCTCTCTTTACGAATGTGCTCATTGCTCTATAAATGATGTTACTCCCGTGAATCACTGATTCGATAAAAAACACAGGGCTTTTGAAAGATATTATTTATACACAATCCGGTATATAATTTTATGCTGCCTGCTATGGCACAATTTGGAGGCTCCGCGGCTCCGTAGGCGTGACAGATGAGAAACAAAAATAAAAGATAAAAGCCGTTACTTACATGTGCCATCAAAACTTAAGCAGGTATAACATGGTAAAACAAATGAAGTCAGTTGTAACATGCGACTAAGCAGCAACAATCGTGACTAAAGTCAGGGCCTAGCTAAGGGGCGCCCCCCCCCCCTGCACGCCAGCCAGCTGCTAAAACTGCCCACACACACAGCCACACGTCAAGAGGCCACTGCACCACACCCTCCCCATCTATCTATCTGCTTTCTCACCACACCACACACACACACACACACACCACACACACACACACACACACACACACACACACACACACACACACCACACACCACACCACACACACACACACACACACACAACACACACACACACAACACACACACACACACACACACACACACACACACACACACACACACACACTCCTCT